CATTTTTCACACTTAAAGAGCATCACAACATCTCCACGACCATGTGATCAAAATTCACACGCATGGCAAACGGTTGATATTTATGATGGTTGTGTGGATTCCGGCAGTTACTCCAATTAAACCATGAGCTTCGAGCTACACTCCCAAAACTACAAAGGATTTATTAGAAGTTAACATTCAGGCATTAGCCTTGGCGTAGCTGACTCTGAGATACATAATTCACTGTCACCCTTGATCCTATTTTCCCCCACACCCCTCTGTGTGTATCATCCAACGAAACACGTCCATAGCCCAGAGTCATCAATCATGCTCTCCAATTAGATTTTTGCGTGACAGAAGCTTCAGTCATCTAATCAGTCTCTGAAGAAAATATGAAAGGAATGTACTTTCGATTCCACACTGCCGCCTGCTCTTTGAAACTCCCCCCAGTTCTTTATGTTGTCAACTATAAAACGTGTATACAAAATGTTTTATAAGTTGCCAGGTTGCCATGTTTGAGGGTCACGCAATCCACTTTTACGACCTTCTGACAAGCAAAGTCAATGGGGGAGCCAGATTCACTTAACAACCGCGTGACCAACTTAACCGCTGTGGCGATTCACTGAACAACGGTGGCAAGAAAGGTCATAAAATGGGGCAGAACTCACCTTGTCTCACTTAGCAACATAAATTTTGGGCTCAACTGTGATCCTAAATTGGGCTGCCTGTAATCTCAGACCCCTTGCTGTCATTTTGGATTTCAACAATTTAATCCTGGTACCTTCTGAAGGGATGAATTGCAAGGGGCGGATTGTCGAGACGGCTTCAGCTCAAGGAGATATGAAGATAACACCTTTCATTCGTTTTTCCAAGGATGGCACAGTACCCCAGAACCACAGGTAGGTGAAAGGGAAAGTTAAATCCCTTCCTGAATTCAGAAAGACACAATCAAATGAAGACTCCGGCCAAGTTTAAGCAAAATTTTAATAGTATCCGGACTGCACTAAGATTACATTCATCTTCCAGACAGAGAACTCATAATTTTCCCTTTTTGGTACAGCAAGAATTTCTTTGTCCTATGGATAGAAGAGCATATTTGCAGCTCAGGATTGGGCTGTGGGGTCTTGGTGCTCTCTGAGCTTGGTGGCTTTCTTGCAGACGTTTCATGACCCAACTAGGTAACATCATCAGGGCTAGAAGGGAGAAGAGAACTGTGGGGTTCTTGGTACTCTCTGAGTTTGGTGGATTTCTTGCAGACATTTCATGACCCAACAAGAGAACTTCAGTGCTAAAAGGAAGAGGAGGGGGAAGAGGAGGAGGAGGAGGAGGACTGTGAGGTGTGCGGTATTCTCTGAGTTCAGTTGTTTCTTGCAGACGTTTCATGGCCCAATAAGGTAACATCATCAGTGCAAGAAGGGAGAAGGGTTTGGGAGAAGGGTTTGGGAGGAGGAGGAGGAGGAGGAGGAGGAGGAGGAAAAGGATTGTTGGGGTCCTTGGTGCTTTCTGACCTTGGTGGATTTCTTGCAAACATTTCATGACCCAACTAGGTATCATCAGCAGTGCTAGAAAGGAGTAGAGTTTGCAAAGAGGAGGAGGACGACGACTGTGGGGTTCTTAGTGCTCTCTGAAGTAAGTGATTGCAGACTTTCATTATCCAACTAAGTAACTTGATCATTGTTAGAACAGATTTAACAGATAATCAGAGTTGGAAGGGACCTTGTAGGTCATCTAGTCCAACCCCCTGTCCAAGCGAGAAACCCTACACCATCTCTGTCAGATGGCAGTCCAATCTCTTCTTAAAAGTCTCAAGTGTTGAAGCTCCCACAACTTCCAAAAGCAACTTCTGTTCCAGGGGTTGATTGTTCTCCCTTTCAGAAAGTTTCTCCTTATTTCCAGGCTGAATCTCTCCTTGTTCAGTTTTCAACCATTATTCCTTCTCTGGCCTTTTGATGCTTTGGAAAACAGGTTGACCCCCTTCCTCTCCGTGGCAGCCCCTCAAATATTGGAAGACCGCTATCATTCCCCCCCTGGTCGTTCTCTTCCCTAGACTAGCCAGGCCCAGTTCCTGCAACTGTGTGTTGTATGTTTTAGCCTCCAATCCCCTCATCATCCTGGTTGCTCTTCTCTCTATTTTTTCTAGAGTCTCAACATCTTTTTTATAATGTGGTGACCAAAACTGGATGCAGTACTCTAGGTGTGGCCTTACTAAGGCTTTATAGAGTGGTCTTAGTACCTCCCTTGATCTCAATTGTATCCCTCTGTTAATGCAATTTAGGATTGCATTGGCTTTTTTGGCTGCTGCTGCACACGGCTGGCTCCTATTTAGCTGGTTGTCCACTAAGGAGAGAGAGAGGTTTGCACTCTGTTTATGCTCTTGTCCTGTCAGTGTTGGTGCGAGTGTTGTTGTTGGTTCCTTGGTTAGGCTGTTTCATTGTTTGTGTGAGTGGATAGTTCCCTGATTGGGATATTGTTCACTTCTTGACTAGAATACTAGATCGTTGGTCTAGTATTAAACTTTGTGTTCCTCTCTGTTTATCTGGGTGTTGATCCCTGGTTATGTGGTGTTTTGGCCTTTTTTTGGTTTCCTTTTTACCTTTTTAATCTTCTCTTTTTGAATGGTGTGTAGACACTCTTTATCTCTATGTGCCTGTGGATCAACAGTCAAATAAGGTAACAAGAGAACAAAAACCTAGTCAAGGAACCACTAAGAAGAAAACAACCCTCTTTACCAACACTGACCGGGTAAGCCACTTGCATATAAACAGAGATCAACACCCCCTACTTCCTGGCACTGATGATGCTCCCTAGATGGGTTGTGAAACATCTGCAAAAAAAATAATCAAACTCAGAGAGCGCTGTGGTTCAGCCCAGAGTTACAAATATTATCTTCTAACTTGGATCTTACCAGGTGCCGTGGGTGAAATTCTAACTATATTGTGCATGGATGGATTTTTGTGGATTAATTACCTGGATAAGAAAGTCGCTAGCAGAGGGAGGGACAAATAAATGAATCTCTCCCGAACAGGTGGCCTTCCAGATGTGTTGGAACTACAAGCCCCAGAGTTCCACACAACTGAAGCAAATCTCCATAAATCTTTTGAGGTGCAAAACTGGAAAATATAAGGCAAATCCACAGCCTTTCTATCTTTCCCAAAGCCTAGAGCCAAGGAACCAGCCCAGGCCTTTAATCAAACCTATTATGTAGCTAATTTATTCCCTAGATACCAGCCTCCTCCCAAAAATCAGAGAGGGAGATAGCCCCATATTTCTCTAAATACATCTCTGTATTAATTCAATTTATTCCCTTTCAGAGAACAAAGCTCATTTCAAATAATAGCTTACGGTATTTTAAAACTTAAGGCTGGTTGTGCTGTAGCCAAGGAGTCCCCAGGGAGGGATTCGAAAAGACCAGGTTGGTAGTCACATTGGTGCGAAGCCCAGCTTTTTACACGCAGAGGTAGTCCTCGACTTACAACAGTTCATTTAGTGACCGTTCAAAGTTACAACGGCACGGAAAAAAGTGACTCATGACCGTTTTCACACAACCGTTGCAGCCAGTGGTGGGTTTCCAAATTTTTTTCCTACTGGTTCTATGAGAGCACAGATTGTGCGTGCGCGAGAGTGTGTGCAGGGCTCAAAAATCACGCTCTGTGTCAGCATTGGTGAGTTGAGCTGAGTGTCAACTAAAAAAATACTTCTTTGACCTTTTTAGAAAGGGAGTGGGGGAATGCAGCGCATTCCTTAAATCCTTCAGATAACTGCTAGGTAGCCGAAGCTGTTGGTGCGCAAGATGATTCCTGGAGGGCAGGACTGAGGACTCTTGGCTATGGATGTGTCTCATTAGAGAAGATACATCCAGGGGGTGGGGGTGGGGGAAGACCAGGGTCAAGGGGGAAAGGAATGATGTATTGAGTGTCGGCTGCACCCAGGCAACACGGACACGATCACTTCTAATACATCAATTGGTTTTGCTCTAGCTGAGAGATGCAGTTAGCGACTTATGATTTGAATCGGGGTCCGTGTCAGAGCCCTGAGCTGTTTTTTAGCTCAGCTAAGGCGCGGCAATCCACTCTGCCATGCGAATCAGCCCAGCTAAAAAACAAGGGGCTATAGGAGAGGTAACAGCAGGGGCAGGAGGGTGGGGACCAACCAGAGGTGGGATTTGCTGGTTCACTGAACTACTCAAAATTTCCGCTACCGGTTCTCACGAACCGGTCTAAAGCGGCTGAATACCATCTCTGGTTGCAGCGTCCCCAGGGTCAGGTGATCAAAATTCAGACGCTATGCAACCGATTCATATGTCAACTCATAAAACATTCCTATGCCTGTTTTAGTAGTTGCCATAAAAAAAGGGGGGGGGAAGCGACGGTACATTCCGACTCTTATCTTTCAAAAATTGTAACTAAACTACCAGAGCTTTTGCCCACGAATATGATTAATTGGAGAACGTGATGACACCCAGCCTGTGAAGGTGCGCAATTGGAGAATCTGATTTATGACACACCCGGGGGTAGGGGGGAAACAGGGTCACAGGGGACTGTAAATGACATGTGCCAGAACTGGCTTTCTACAGGGCAGTGCCAGTAGGTCGCCTCTAATGAATCCTTTTTGAAGTTTTTTGAAGTTTGGCTCGAGAATCATGAGTTTAATTAGGGCAATTGCTGGAATCCTGACAGCATATTTATGACGGTCGCAGTGGCCCGGGGTCATGATCCCTTTTTGCGACGTTCTGACGAGCAAAGTCAGTGGGGAAGCAGGATTCACATAACCACCACGTGACTGAGTTAAGAACTGCCGTGATTCACTTAACGGCTGTGGCAAGAAAGGTTGTGAAATGGGGACAAAACTCATTTAACTTAGGCAACGGAAATTTTGGGGCTCAATTGGGGTCATTAAGTCGAGGACTACCTGTGCTGTATCTATCACACGTGTAAAAATGAGGGTCGAGATAAGTCGAGAAGTCCTCGACTTATAACAATTCCCTTAGTGACCGTTCAAAATTACAACACCACTGAAAAATGTGGCCTGTATGTGTGACACCCCCACCCCCCCTTATTTCTTTTTTAACGTCTCCCTCCTGCAGACAAGCCTTGGTTGGAGCAATATCAGATGCCTTCCCAATTGAAACACAACACAGTTCATCCTGGTTTGAGCCGCCATTTTTATACATTTCCCTTCTTTTCGCTGCTCTTTCAAAACCCGTTTGGGAGCAAAAGTCTCGGCAGCTTATAGTAAAGTTCCTCCTCATCTTCCCAGCTCCTGACCGTAAACCATCCGGGAAAAACTAAGAAGGTGAAATGATTGATAAATCACTCAAGGATTTTGGCATTACAAGCCCCAGAAAACGGAAGACAAACTGTTGAGAGTGCCAACATACACACACAAGCACACAATTCAGAAACAACCGTTCTCAGCGTCCATACGAGGCCTTTTGCTGCTGTGTGCAAATTTGGGGACAATATGAGTAGTCCTCAACTTACAACAATTCCCTTAGTGATCATTCAAAGTTACAACACCACTGTAAAATGTGGCTTAGGACCGGTTTTCTTCACATTTTTAACCGTTGCAGCATTCCTGTGGTTGCGTGATAAGAGTTTGGAGGCTTAGCAACTGGCATGTACTTGTGACAGTTGCAGTGTCCTGGGGTCATGTGATTCCCCTTTTACGACCTTCTGACAAGGAACAGCGAAACTGGATTAATTTAACAACCACCACTAACTCATGGCAGTGATTTGCTTAATAACCTGGCCAAGAAATTTTGTCGTAAATTGTGGCAAAATTCAATTACCACTAAATTGTCTCATTTAGCGACATAAATTTTGGGGCTCGGTTGTGGTTGTAAGTAGAGGACTACCTATATTCATCTTTTAGCAGCCTGTTTCATCGCATGCCCATCGTTCAGTCTTGATTTGAAGAATTAGCGGGCAACCGTGTCCTGTCTTTCCTTTTTTCAACCCTCTGAACCGATTAGAATTATTTCAGGTTAGGATGATCAGAATAAGGCAAGGTGACTCTTGTGATCTTCAGACACGTCCACCGAGGCAGCTTAAGAGACCCAGACAAAGTAAGCCACCTCATCCAGATCCACGGGGTAGTCCGTGATCAACGTGGGAGTCTTCTCAAACAACTCTCCTTTGTAACTCCGCCATTTGCCCGCCGGGATGTAGATGTCTCGTTCCTGTTTCCCCATCTCCAAGACCGGAGCCACCATCAAGGTGTCTCCGATGAGAAACTGGGAATCGATCTTGTGGGCAGATTCATCCCCGGGAGAGATCCACCAGATAGGCCGTATGATGGGATCCCCTGTGGTCGTGATCTCCCCGGCCAGTTCCAGCAAGAGAGGAGCCACCAAGGACTCATGAAGCTTGGTGAACTTCAGGGCGATTTCGATGACCTCCTTATCGTAGAGCCACGGCGGGATGGAGAACTGCATGGAGGGCATGAAGGCGGATAACTCCAGCCAACGGATGTAGAGTTCCCGGTCCGGGATTTCCATAGCGCCGTCGGTTTTGTTGGGGAAGAAATTACCGCCAATCATGTCGGCCGATATGAATGGGTACCCCAACATGCTGATGGTCAGGACAGTGGGGATCAAAGACTTCAGGCCAAGTTCATAGCCCCACACGGAATCCCGGTCAATGATCCTGAAAAAACACGAGATATTCTGCGATTGATAGCCCACCCTGACCTCCGCCAGTTCATAAAACGGAATGGCCATTTCTGTGTAGCGCCTGGACCAGATGCTGGGATCTGACAAAGGCCGGAAGGTGCTAAATTGTTTGGGAAGGTAGCTGGTCTCTCCGGCATCAAATTTGAAGGACGAGATGCCGTATTTATTGCGGAGTTGTCTCAGTTGACTCTGGAACCAATCTCGGGCGGCAGGGTTGGTGAAATCCAAGATGGCGCCGATGCCATTCCACCACTCCACCATGGCAGGTAGCCGTCCGGTGGGTTCCTTGATGAACAATTGTTTCTCTATCCCCACCCCAAAATTCGAGGAATTGTAATTGATGAATGGGTGAGTCCAGAGGGTGATTTGAAAGCCGTCCTCTTGGAGTTTCCTGAAGGCTTGGGTCATGTTGGGGAACTTGGCTACGTCAAAGTCGAAGTCGCCGTACGCCTGGGTGTAGGTGTCATCAATCTCGATATGGCTGCAGTTGAACTTGTACTTCTTGATGTTTTCGGCAAAACGCAGGAGTTTCTCCTGGTCAATGTCGTTTTTGTACAAGGCCCAGGTGGACCAGATGGGGTACCTGAAAGCGTTTCTTGAAGGTATCTTGGACGGCTTGTAGAAGTACTTCCGCACCATGTATTTGTGGATGGAGGTGACGTCGGAACCTATGCAGACCCGATAACTCAGCTCAGGAAAAGGCTGCTGACCCAACGGAGGTTTGTACGGTGAATCTTTATACCTGGCTTGGAAGACGAGAGAGGGTTCCGTGGCATTGAACCCAAGGTGGAAGGGCACCGAATCATTGATCTTGATGGCCGCAGCTTTGGAAGACAACCAGTACCTCTCTAAGATGCCTCCAAAACTGTTCCTAAAAGAGTAGACATCGCTGGTCACAAAAGGCATAGGCTCTTGGTACCCGGGCAGTTTGATCGGCCAATGCTGGACGCTCATCTCACAGCCCCCGTACCAGAGGGCATCTCCCCAGAACATTTTATGATCCACCACCGTGTCCGCCACAAACTCTTCCCAGCGCACACGGTAGCAGATCACGGTGTTCTTGGGGTTGACAATCTTGATGAAGAAGTTGACTTTCCCTTTGTCGGTCCGTGTGCAGGTTAAATTGGCCCCTTCCCTGGAGCAGGACTCCAGGTCCAGGCGCCCTGACTGGAAGGCCACCTTGAAAACCAGCTCGCCGTTCTGGTTCTTGATGGTGAAGCCATCCTGCCGCAAATCCATCTCCGCAGTCTTGAGCCTCTCTGCTTTCCGGAGGGACGCTACGTAGTAGCACCATGCCACCACGGCGGCAATGAACAAAACGAGGCCCAACACGATGGCGCCAATCATGGGCTTCAACTCCTTGGCGGGCTTCTGCTTCACCGGAGTGAAGTTCTCCGGCAGGAAGGTATACATCGTCCCTTCTTATGTCGGATTGCTTCGCAAGGCTGGGACAGTCTTTGATTTTAGGTGCAAAGCTGGAAACATAGATGCTGGGTGACGGTCTACGTTCACTGGCTTCTTCAGGAGTGGCCGGCCAGCTCATTCATCTCCTTCAACCAAGGCATGGATCCTATCTGAAGAAGGACACTGAACAGATCGCCGTCATCTGACAAAAAAAAAAAGAAGGAAAGACAAAAAGCTGAAGTAGGTTGAAGAAAGGTCAGCTAGATATTCTCTTAATAGCCCACATCATCTAAGACATCAAGAAGCAGAGGGGTGCAGTGGCCTAGAGGTGGATCTCTTTGCCTCGCAATCGAAGGAGGCTGTGAGTTCAATCCTAGGCAGAGGCAGATATTTCTCTCTCTAGGCATACTGAGAATATATCTGCTGAACAAAACTCCGCACTGGTGACAGGAAGGGCATCCGGCCATTAAAACACACAGCTAGCTGCATTCGGTTTAAGGGGTTAAGGAGTTAAGGATTAAAGGGTTGTTTGAATGAAGATGATGATCTAAGACCGTGATGGTGAACCTGTGGCACACAGAGTCCTTTGGGCGAGCCCCAGCCGAACTTACGTGCACTGCGCATGCGCGTGCCTCCCAGCTGATTTTCGGCCTGTTTGAGGCCGTTTTCTCCCCCCCCCCCCCCGAGGCTGAAAAACGGGCCTTCCAGAAATACCACAAGTGCCAAAACGGGCCCAAAAATCAGCTGGGAGGCACACGCATGCACAGTGCAGGCCGGGGGGGGGGTTGTTGCCTGCGCATGCACAGCGGGGCAGGGTGCATTGTATTGTGGGTGCCGCGCACGTGCTTTTGGCACACCCCAACAAAACGATTCGCCATCACTGATCTAAGACATCAAGCCACCTTCAGACCTGCGGGCTCTTGACTCTCCATCTGAGGGCTGGCGGACGGCCCAGGCTCCACCTCTCTCTGTCTCTGTCTCTCTGCCAGCTCAATTCCCTCTTCCCCCTCGGAGTTCTCGGGTTATCTTGAGGCTGACCCTGACTCCCACACCTCCTCCTCCTCCTCCTCCTCCTCCTCTGATTCATCTGCTGGTGAGGCCGGCGGTTGACCGGCCACAACAGGGGAACCCTCCCTGCAGGACCTCACAGCCAAATGCCACCAGGCAGAGAGCTCAGTTGTCTTTGCTAGACAACATGGAGGCTTTCTCCTGGCACGACGTGGCTTCTCGTCCTCTCACAGCTGCTAATTCGAGCAGCAGCGACAGCAGCTGTCAAGTTGAGGGTGCTAATTCCATTCCACTAAGGCTGAATATTTAACTTTTCCACTTGGCTGGTGTCCCTCTCCTTTGGCCAGACACCCAGCTGAGTCCAGAAATGGATTCTTGAGTCATCAAGTTCTTGAAACATGTGCCAACACTTCAGATAACTTCACCCTACGCCCTTTAACCAGCTCTGGAGAAAACTTTAAAAAGTTTGCCTTCATTCCTCTCGGTTGTAGGCATTCGTGGGAAGAAGGTATAACCTTATAGAACTGTGTTAGAAATATTGTACAGGCAGTCCTTGAGTTATGACCACGAATCGAGCCCCCCAAATTTATGTCGCTAAGTGAGTTTGTCCTACCATTGCATTTGTTAAGGGAACCACTGCATTTGTTAATGAGCGACGCGGTTGTTAAGGGGAATCTAGTTTCCTCACTGACTTGGCTCGCGAGAAGGTCGCAAAAGGGGATTAGGTGACCCTGAGACCCTGCCACCATTGTAAATGTGAGGTATGGTCAAGCAGCTGAATGTAGATCACGTGACTGTGGGGATGCGGCAACGGTCGTTGGTGTGAAACGTGGTCCTAAAATAAGTCACTTCTTTCAGTGCCATTGGAACTCTGAATGGTCGCTAAGTGAACCGTTTTAAGTCGAGGACTCCCTGTATAGGATATCATAGGTTAACTAGTCCAGGCCTCCAACAAAATGACTGATTAGCAGCCTCTGAACTCCTTTAAACTTACAGCAAACAGAAGAATGAATTAAACACTCACTGATTTCAAATTGTAAACACATACAAGCAAACGCACCAAACTCAATTAACACAACGTAAACATCATTATGGGATGCGGTGGCTCAGGGGCTAAGACGCTGAGCTTGTCAATCAGAAAGGTCGGCAGTTCGGCGGTTCGAATCCCCAGCGCCGCAGAACGGAGTGAGCTCCCATTCCTTGTCCCAGCAGCTTCTGCCACCCTAGCAGTTCGAAAGCACGTAAAAAGTGCAAGTAGAAAAACAGGCACCCCCTTTGGCGGGAAGGGAAGAGCGTTCTGTGTGCCTTCGGCGGTCAAACATGCCGGCCACATGACCACGGAGACGTCTTCGGACAGCGCTGGCTCTTCAGCTTTGTAACAGAGATGAGCACTACTCCCTAGAGCCGGAAAGGATATACATACTATACATACTATATACATATAGTATGTATATGCGAGGGGGACCTTTACCTTTTACCTCTACTATACCTGTAGACTAGCACGGATGTATGAGGGGAACCTTTACCTTAAACATAATTATAAAGCCCATATTTCAAACATAAAGACAGAGTCCACATCACCTGATTTAATCAACCCCTTGTCCGGGTCAACACGTACACACACATAAGTCCTTCAAGTGTCACCCTATTTTTATTTATTTATTTTTGTCAATTGCTTACAAGATAATAGGCATAAGTAAAAAACATAGTTATGAATACATGGATGCATATAAGAAAAATAAAAGAAACAATAGGACAGGGACGGTAGGCACGTTGTGGTGCGGTTATGCCCTAAAACCGGTACACACCCTCCCCTCAAAAGCACACTAAGGACTAGTCCCCCCTTGTGAGAATCAGGGAATACAGCTTATTGATCTATTAGATTCAGTAAGTCCGATGGGTGATAGCAGGCCCCAGAAAAGACATGAACCAATGTTTTCAGCTAGGATGGTTCCAAAATATATCAGAACTATTTGTCATCCTGCCGAGCCGTTGCTAACTGTGAAAACGTATCTTTGCAAAGTGTGCACTTGAACGGATAAGTTTCAAACAGGAAGAATGAAACGGTTGGAGATGAGGAACTGAAAGTAATGTACATGGTGTTTACAGAAAGTGAGCGTTAGCGAAGTTGTGAAGTGTATATGTGGTTAGAAGAAAGGATAGATCAGCTTGGAGCTGTTTGATTTATGGCAGTCCTTGCAGGATCTGCTATATGTCATTGGGCCCCATTGCAATGGCTTATTAATGTAAGTGTATTACTGCAATTATATCTTTTATATCTATTCATTTCTTAGGTTCCAAATTATTAGAAACAATAAACCTCTGATCTTAAAGTAAGAATTTTGGTTTGTGTTGCTGTCTGTTTCCCATTGGTATTTTTTTTTTTTTAATGATACCTATAAATCAGCCCTTTTAAACTCCATTTTACGTGGCAGCTATCTCCCGTAGTCAAACCTCTTTGCTTTTTGGAATAGATACATCTCCTTTCCACACAGCTGTCCGGATATCGTTTTGATTTGTGTGCAACCCTGACTCGAGTTGGAGCTGTTGTGGTTCGCTGGCAGCCTGTGCAGACGGCAGCAAAATCGGACAGTGGGGAGGAACAGGGGCCAGTCCGGGGATCTGGGGAGAACTCGGACAAGGGATCTGTGTCCGACACAGAGATGGGGCCAGGACCAACTGGGAGTTATGTGCCGACTCCCGAGCCTTCAGAATCTGACATCAGCGAGGCAGAGGAACAGAGGGAGCCTGTTCCCTGTTTGCGCTTGCGCAGAGCTGCCAGAAGGCAAGAGCAGTTAAGACAAAAGGGGCAACTCGGGAATAAGGCTTGGAGGTGATTGGCCCTCCCATAAAACATGATGAAGGAGCAAAGGGACAGGAATCTTTGCAGGAAGCAACTTTGTTCGTACTGATCGGTTTGAAACCTGAAGCTCTGGGTTGAATTTGTATTCCGTTTTAGCCTCGTATAACTGATTGAACATTTAGTCGTTGGCAGCATTTCAAGGAAGATAAAGGTGCATGCTTATCAGGCTTATCCCGAAGGATTTCGGCAGACATCCATGGGACTATTTACAAACTGTGTGAGACTCATTATGGGCTGTGAATGACGATAATTCACAGCCAGCGAAGTAAAATAAAAAGAGTTTTGGATTTTATATGCGTTTGTTGGTGTCTCAGGAAGCCTTGGTCAGAACAGGAGCTCCAAATGATTCTTCTGTGGTGTTCTGGTTGGGGACGGCTGAGGTCTCAGAGAGCGAGGACTCAGATAAGGGGCCTGCATGTGATGCAGGGATGGGGCCAGGACCATCAGGGAGTGGGGTGCTGCCTTCGGAGATGGTGGAGGTTGGCAGCAATGATGAAGAGGCCCCCGAGGAGCCTGTGCCCAGTACGCATGCGCACAGGGCTGCTCAAAGGAAAGAGAAGCTGCAGCAGCCTGGGCGACTCAGGAGTAAGGCTTCAAGGTAATGGCCCCTCCCTTAAGAGATAAAAGCTGAGAAACTGGAGTTCTTTGCAGGAAGCAAAGAAGTTTTTGCACTCAAGCTTCAAGGACATTCAGAATATCTTGGTTGGTGTTTGGAGACTCTTTGTGTTTGAAATATTTCTTGGTAACTTTATCTAGTGTTCTTGGCAGCCTTGCACAACTTTAGCAAGGCTCGTTCTTACCAGAGACAATTAGTTTGAAACAGCCTTTTCAACGGGAAGGAATGGAATTCGTAAAGAATCATTGAAAGGTTTTGCTGTTACCTGTTTCGTGTTTGTTTCCTTGGAACAAGGTTTGGGTCAGAACATGAGGTTACCTTGGCTAGAATGTGGGTGATGCAGTCTTCTGAAAAAACTCAGTTTGTTTACGGGTAATCCTTGTCTTACAATCATTTGTTTAGTTACTGCAGCTACGTCGACATTGGCAAAAGTATCTTTGCAATCTGCCCTCACGCTTACAACTGTCAGGCTCACCTACTCAGAACATTTGGACACTGGCATGTACTTATGTCAGTTGCAGTGTCCCTTAGTGGGTCATGGGATCACCATTTGTGATCTTTCCCAGTTGGCTTCCAACAAGCAAAGTCCATGGGGGAAGCCAAATTCACTTAACGACCGTGTGATTCGCTTCAGAACCCTGGAAGAAACGGTCGTAAAATTGGGCGCAGCTCGTTTAATAACTGCCTTGCTTGGCAATCGGAATCCTGAACATTT